TGTGTCCCCCGCGCTCGGCAGGGGTGTGCCGTCGGGATGGGCAGTGCCGGCCTTCAGGCCCCAACCCGACCTGTGCGTCGTCAGGCTGCCCGCGGAGCAGCCCCAGCGCCGGGCTGCGCTGCCTGACGCGAGGCTTCCCTGCGAGGGGAGTCGGGGTGCCCTGGGACAGCCTTCACAGGCAGGCAAGGCGCCTGACCAGAAGCTCCCCTCCCAAGTCCCTATTGGCGCTGCTCTCTTTTCTCTTCGGAAAGGCCAGCGCTGTGAGGAGGAGAGGGTTTCAGTAACTCCTGAAATCTCTGCCCTGGGGAAAGGCCTGTGCCCTAGAGCCAACTTGCTTGTGGAAACACACCCGTGTCCCCCGTCCCTTGGAGAGGGGACAAGAGGTAGGTGAGGATGTGGCACTGGCATTATGCTGCCCACAGCCCTTCTAAGGGCTACAGGTGGAGGAGGATGTTTTCCCACACACGTCTGGGAAGTTGGGAGACTTTTTTCCAGGCTCTGCCTCCTCATGGGTTATTCTAGCACTTATTTCTCTCTACTGCAGAGGGAAAATAAAAACCACAGAGCATTTTAAGCTAAAAGTGTGGCTCCCAGCACAAAACACCATGTGTCATTTGCTATATCTGCCTCCACAGCATTGGTGTTAACCTCATCTACATTAATTGCTCCACTGAAGGTCAGAGGGGCATCTGCAGCAGGGGTGGCTTCCCAGACAGATCTCTCAACTTCCAGTCTCCTAACCACAAGCCTATCTTCCCCCATCCTGTCAGGAATCCTAAGTTTGGAAAGACAGGACCTAATACAGCATGAGGGAGCTAGCTCCAGTGAGATTTAAGGCCTCGTGGAGTTGTTAGGCTAAGAGAGGGCAATGTTTTGCGCCTGAATATCTGCAGCACACATTATAATGAAAAGGAAACGGCTTGTGTGCTGACTGGAAAGGCTGTTTGCACGCTAGCAATATCCAGCATGAGAGTTATCACTGGAAAAATACAAGCCGTGTGACTAATTCAGCAACAACAGGGCATGGGAGTAGTATTTATGGCTAGAGAAAGGCATGAGCACCACCAAAAGCACCAGAGAGGGGACTGGGATGTGGGTATTGGGATGTGAGCCAGAGCTGCTAGTGGCTGCAGGAGTCTGTCTCCATTCATCTTTTCCCTAATTGGCCTTGGATCCAGACTGGATCAGTTTAAAACTCAAGGTTAGAGCTCGCCTAGTGTCTTTAGAGGCGAAGGCTCTCTGCACTGTCAGTGACTGCTGCCAACAGTCTGGCCTAAATCAGTCCCCGCACCTCCAGCATACCTGCCAGGTCTCTTCCCACTGCCCTGTGCTGACCCTGCCAACTCAGGCCTCCATCGAGCAGTGCCCCAGCTCCCAGCCACTGGAGATACTCACCAGCCCCATGCAGTGCATGCGGGGATCTATGCCTCACACTGCCACCCAAGGGAAGCACCGTGAGAGGGAGGGGAAAACAGTGCCTTTGGGATTCAGGGAGCTTTGACCTTGTGGGGAAACAAGCAGACCAAGTCTTAACCCTGCTTGGGTCACCTCACAGGAGTTAAGGTATCCAGTGTGGCTTAAACTCACACTGGCAGGCAGTAAGTCGGCTCTGAGCACCGTCCTCATGATGTCATGGTTATTCCTGCAAGCAGACATCATGCAAAGTACAGGACGACGCAGCTGTGTTCCCTTTCACCTCTGCCTTGATGCTGCAGTATGCCCATTCAGCCGGCCCTGTTCTACCACAGAAACCCAGGGCTTCAGTTTCTTCTCATGTGCCAATCTGTCACTAGCCCAATGAATAACTGATGCCACAAAGCCACTCCAGCAGAAAAGAGTGAGGAAGCCTTGCTTCAGTGTGCTAGTTAAACCATGACATTCAGTAACGTGAGAGGTGGTGACACCTTTTGGGAGGAAAAGGTTCATCCCCCTCCTTAGGCAGATAATTGTTCACACAGTATGGAAATGCCTCAACACAGAGACAGACCATCCTCTCCAAGGCAGGGACCATCTTGCCCCCAGAGAGGCAACAGCCTGGGCACAGGTGTGGAAAAGTTTCTGTCCTGAGAAGTTGAGCCTTCAGCCTGGGTTTCTCCTCTCCCTGGGAAGTGCACTACGTACTGGCCACTCACAGGTGGGGAAGCATCTCTGTGGAGTTTCAACCAAAAGTTTCCTCCTCATCAAACCACTCCGTATAGCTTCCCCAAGCTGCAGCTGAGGCAAAGGAACGTTTTCCAAGGGACAAACCCAGCCCCTTCCCACACACTGCAGACAGGATTTACAGAAATGCTCTCTGTCCTCCTGCTCACACCACCAGCTTTTGAACCTAGAGACAAAGTTTACATTCAGTTTGAGAGAGGGGGAGAGGTCTCAAAGACTGCAGCTTGCTGGCTACAAGCACTTGTCACGGTTTGAGGCTGGGCCGG